AATACAATGCACTGATATAAAAAGAGAATGATGGTAGTACATGGCTAGGATTTACAACCAGATTGAAATGAAAGATTTATGATGTTTACTTTATCTCTTCAAAATCAAAGCCTTTCTTGAGTTTTGCCATTAGTTATTTAAAAGGAGCCTACTTGTTATTCCTAAAAGTGACTTGTCATGAAAGAAGAAAAATGAAGAAAAATTACTAGATATAGGGACTAATAGTTTTCCTCTGGCAGCTAAGTAGATATTGAGAGAACAAGTAAGCTCATCATCAGAAATTGTGCTCTTAAGATCTGCTGTGAGTTGATGCCATGTTTTGTCAGTCAACATAGTTGTTTATTCAAACACATGCAATTCTTTATAAGTTGTTTTTCAAACATGCAATTCCCTATATAGTAGTTCAGTTTTAACAGCACTTTCACTTTCCACAGTTTCAGTTACCCAAAGTCAACTTAAGTAAAAAAAAAATTAAATGAAAATTCCAGAAATAAACAATTTATAAGTTAAAAAAAATCATAGATTGGTTTTTGTTTCTGGTTGTTTAGAAAAGAAAATAGTACAAAGGGATAGATATTCTACAATATTCCAGCACACATGCAGTTGGATGCTTCAGGAAAGGGGCCAGCTTGACACGGAGCTTCCTCCCACATCCTGTCTGTGCCTCAGTAGCTCTGTATATAATTAAACATTTTTGCTGTTGTTTAACACATGCTATTATTCACTTAGTTATTCATAAATTTGTACAAAATGTATAAGATAGATTAATTTCACTTATGTGTTATATTTTTTAAGTTGTGCCCTCTGTTGAAATAGCCTGAGGGGACAAGCAGAGGGGAAAAAAGAACTCTCTAATTAAAATTCTCTGAGAAATCAGCAGTAGCAATTAATGAAGCAGAGGGTAAAGCAGTGTAAAAATAGTCTTAAAAGAGGCCTCAACAAACTCTGGAGGCCAACCAACAGAGATTCTCCTGAACAGCAGGAGGCAGAGAATTATAAATTTATGGAAATATCTTGTTTCTCTGTCCCCAAATTGTACTTTTGGTATGATGAAGCAGGAAGCACAAACTTCTTTTCAAGAATTTTCAACATTGTGCAAATAAATGCACATCTAAAATAAATAATAAGTTTGATTTATTAATTTAAGCTGTAGCATATATTTTGGGGGAACTTTAGTCATTTGGTTAATTACCCCAACTCTACTTTTTGCTTTTCATGCAGAAACATGGTTCTTGGATATAATTTGCTACCTTAAGTTTGTACAGAGATGTGTGTTTATGCATTATGATTTACTTCCAGAACTCTGGATGAAGAATACATTTCAAATAACATCATCAAAACGTATTAAGCACCCAAGACACTGGGCTTAGTGGTAAAATACGGTGGAAAAAGTTTTTATCACACCTAATTTTACTCTGGAAAAGAGTTACAGTGCCATGAAATAAAGAGGCAAGGACAATCTATGTGCAATTTAGACTCGATTAAAATCTGTCATGATTTATTATAGAATGTAAGTCTCCAGCAACATTTCTGTACAGTTTTGTGTGATTTCATACTCCAGTTCCCTGAGGAATATGGGGGAGGAGACCTCATTACAACATTCCTTAAAGAAAGGGAGAATCAGTGCCATACAGAAACACCTAGAGCTTGCTCACTCCACGTACTACCACTTAAATTCTGTTAGTAATACTGTCAGGAATGTCCATTCCTTCCTTCCCTCTATGGTGTTCTGGAGTTTTATGAACATCTAGAATAGAGGTTTTTGTACTAGCACAAATTTCTTTACACTCCCTGCCACCCTATTTTCCTTTTTAATTTGAGGTGGGAGAGTTCCTCAAACATAATTGAATGTCTTATTTTGAGTGGTGGGAATTAGAGTTGAGAGGATATACTTTTGTACATGACTCTTTACTTAAGCAGTTAAGGATGTGGAGGGCAGGTTAGATTTTCATCTGCTTTCCAATGGATTTTTCTGAATCCAAGGGTGTTAGCTGAACATCTGAGGGGCAAACGGTTTTCTTGCAGATACTCAGAGTACTCCTATGCCAAATACCATCTACCAAATACAACCAAGAACAATCCTGATCAGACCCTGCATTTTAAATCCTATTCTATTGCTTATGTATATCAGGATAACAAGATCAAAGAGTTTAATCTAGAATCACAGGCTCTGAAAGTGGTAGAGTTGAGATTTAAAACCAGTTCTGCCTGATTCCAAAGTTAAGACTTTGCTCTATCCCACGCAATCTCACACCTACTGTTTTCTGTAGAGGCAAAGTCCTCCTGTGTCTTGCAATTTTATAGACTCAGAGCCTCTGTGAACACTAATTATTCAGGAACTGAAGCCTCCTACTACCTGTTATATTAGCTTGGTCTTTCAAATAGAGCTGGAATTTAAATTTGAAGTGGGTGACCTTGCATATAGACATATACTACTTTTCTAATTTTTCTTACATCAAAATATAATTAGGTAAATTATAAAATTTTCAATGTTTTAGAATAGTTATATTTTCTGTATTTTAATTTTTATGAATCTCCTGACTTTTCTCATTATTCTAAAAATATTGGGCTAAAAGTTTAGAGAGTGCAGATTTTTATTCCTTTGCAGAATAATCACTTCCACTAATAAAATGAGTTTTAGAGAAGCATCTTTCTCCTCAAAAAGCTCTGTGTGTGTGTGTGTGCGTGTGTGCGCGTGTGTGTATATTGTGTGTTACCACAGTATTTGAATAAATAATTCAAAAAATTATTTTGGATTCTATCACTTACTTTTTTCTTTATTTATTTCAAAATACTTGAGTAGATGTTTATTTTACCTTTTACTGAAGTCTCTGAACTTTGATAAAAATTCTGAAAAAAATGTAAAAATATACTTGTTATTCACATAAAAAATTCACAAAATAATCAAATGGTAATATCCAAAATCTAAACATTATAATTTATTTGTCATGATAAAATGACAAAATATTTCTTGGCATCATATATCAATTTGCTTATTAAACAGAATAAATTTAAATTATATGATGAAATAAAAACTTTTTAAATATTGTAATAAGCAATGTAGGTTGTTTAATTTTTTTAAAAAAAGAAATTACTACAATAGGTTGTCTAAGTTCAATCCCCCTTTCACAAAAGTGACTAATCTTTTGATAAAAGTGCATTCTAATTCTCTCTGTATTCCGTGTCCAGCTGTTATTCTTAGCAATTATTCAGCAAGCCTTGGACAGCACCAAAAAGAAGACTGAATTGACGTAGACAAAATCACTATAGATTCACTAAATAGTTTTCTTTCTTTTTTTCTTTTTGGGGAATTAAAAATAACTGATAGCCAAATGCTTGGAAAAATAAAATATCTTGAGTCATATCCTAAATTAAAAATACAATCTGAAATCCTGTTTTTTTGTTTTCATTTTCATTATTCTTTAAGTTCATGTCCATTAGTGTGTGATGGCCTTTCTTATTTATTTATTTTTGTCCTTGTTAGAAGCCTAGACTTACTTTGGTGGCTTAAGATTTGCTGGTTGTAACTAAACTATCCTGAAAACTGTACAAGGTTATTTATAGACATCCTAAAAAAAGGTTTCATCCCAAAAGGAAATACAGTTTTTAATAAGATCCATTTTAATTGACATTAAAATATTTTAAATTTATAAACTCAAAATTTAAAAAATAAAAAATAAAATTTCAAGTCTTGCATTTAAGGAAATATAATTAGTCAAAAGCCAGATTTCTCAAACAAATAGAGAACAATTGTTTTTCATAACAAAAAATTTGTTACAGGATTCCTTTAGAGAGAGAACATTTCGATCATATTTAAAATGTCATTACATTTATATGCAACTTCACAATTTAAGGGATCTTTCTCAAGTACCTTTACAGAAGTATTTCTATTAGGTAAAATATTTCACCTGAGTTTAGTTATCAGCTGCTAGTCTTAACAACTACACATAAGATCTTCACCCTATCCATGTGGGTGAGACTATTAAAAATGTTATCCTGATTTAACTAGAATTCAATTTATTCAGAAATATAGACTTGTAATAGAAAATCACCATGACATCCACCTACACCATGATGTGAAAGACCATATTTTCACTTTGCGGCTTGCCTATTATGTAAGCATTTAATGGAAATTAAATTATATGAGTTCTGGAATATAATTTGAAGGATGTAAATTGTTTCCAGTGCTGGGTCAGAGAATAAAATAGAGTACAAGTATGTTTGTTATATAATTCTTCGACTTGACAAAACTGACATTTAATAAACACCTAATGACTTCCCTGCATGGCAGGAAATAGTTCTTTGCATGTTGACCAAAAATACAGCCAAGAAAAAGAAAAGCTTCTCAAATTTCACAGTTTGTTGGCAGAAAACCTGTATTTGTCAGTATTTCTTCAATCTTAAGTTCATAGTGGGTGGACAGACTGCTTTGGCATTGTTAACTGGTTACTGCACAAATTCTGTAAAATGTACTTACTATGTATGCCAATATTCTTATATAGGTAGGTTCACAGTTAAAATGGGATTGAAAAAGAGATGAACAAAAGTATGAATACAACTAATGTAGAATAAATGAGCTTTCAATAGTCTACTCAAAATAAGTAGGGTCCAGTTTTTACAGAATATTAAACTATCTTCCACTGACATAGATTAAATAAAACTAGTTGTCAACTCTTTCCTCAGTCTCTGCATGAAAATCATTTTAGTCTTATCAAAATACAAGATAAATATTTAGATATTATGAGTTTAAAAGTTTCAAGGAAAAATCACACAAGATTTTGTGTTTATACTAGTACATAAGGAAAGTGAAATGTGAAGTTGAGTTTTTCTTGAGTTTGTAATTGTTCATGGCTTTCCTATGAAATACCCAATTCCTTTGTGAAGAATTCTTTTAGCTTCAGATATTGTAAGTTTGATCACTTCTCTGCCTTTTGGCTAAGATCAAGTACAAATATTGTAAGTTTGATATTTCTGAAAAATTGTCATTTCTGTTCTTTTAGGGAGTTTCAGACAATGAATGTTTTGAAGATAAAATTTTGTATAACCAGCAATATTTTGACATTATTCAAAGTGCTTCATCTTAAAATTATGTTTTCCTTGTTCTTTGCTCAGTTGTTTGTCTGCCAATTCACCAAGATCTGGACATAAAAGTTGAAGAATAACCAAACAGTCTCAACAGACAGGAAGATGTGTCCACACACACACATCTGGTCTCCTCCTCTGGCAATAGTTCATATTTGTCAGGAGGCTGGCTGTAATTGATGGTCATGAGATGGCAAGGGCCAACCTTACTGGGGCTTGTGTGAATTAAAGCCTTCATATTGGCCTTATTGGAAAGATTTTCCAGAAATAGCACCAGCACCATCCTCACTACCTCCAGTAACAACAGTGATCTCATTTAAGCTACACTGTCATCAGGGCCCTTTATTAACATTATTTCTCATACTCACATGAGGAAATTTAAAATTCCGACAAATGAATTAATTTTCCACAGGATGTTTAGATAGAAACTGGTAGATCTTAAATCCAACTCATATTTGCATTATGTTATCTTATATATTTTATTATCAGCTCTGGGAGTTTGTAATGTTTCTAACGTGATAATTTAAGAGAAATCACTGCTTGTTCAAAGTTAATTCTCACTACCTTGTTATACTGACTTAACATCACCAATAAGAATGCTCTTTTGCAGCATCATATAATTCCCAAGTTCTTAAGCTCATAAAACAGTTATTTTCAAAACATGTTGGTGAAATGCTTTTTAAGACTCCAGTACAAGCTTGTCCAACCCACAGCCTGTGGGCCATATGCAGCCCAGGATGACTTTGAATGTGGCCCTACACAAATATGTAAACTTCCTTAAAACATTATAAGATTTTTTTTTTTTTTAGCCTAACAGCTACTGTTAGTGTTCGTGTATTTTATGTGTGGCCCAAGACAATTCTTCTTCCAGTGTGGCTCAGGGAAGCCAGAAGACTGAACATCCCTGCTCTAGCATAAATTTTTTCACATTGACACAGAATAGAAAAATACGATCAACTCAGATTGTTTTACCTTGTTGTCATTTGTAAAGGCCATTGGTCTTAATAGCTACTGCAACAATGATTTTGGAGACTACATAGTTATTCCATTTCCTTCTATAATTGGAAAGTAAAAGAGTAGCTGTTTCCTTATTAAGAAAAATTTAGTGAATTTTGGGGATTTCTGTCTTAGATATTGAATCTGGGGATTTATTGATTACATTATTTAAATTTTGATTTCTTTAATGGTTTGCATTTTTAGCTTTTCATTAATGTTTGTTTTTAAAATATTTTGGTGGTGTATGTCCATGACTCATCAAAATTATCGTCATCATTGTTCATATAATGTCAAGAACATATTTACATTTCTATATTCATTTTTTACTGTCTAATCACACAAAAGTTTGAATTAAATAAGATCTAGAAAGCCCAACATTAAGAAGCTACTGAATTTTTATACCCACCTATCTATTTGAAACAATAAGTAGTAAACATGATGATTTCCATGTAGCAATGTGATTATCTATATTGTAAATCAATCTTTTGAAAGTTTCAAGACTCATTCAAAGGTAGTAGAATCTCTCTTGTTCTCCACCATGCAGATAGAGAATTCATGTACTCACTCTATCTAAGTTTCACATACACTGTAATGTGTATAGAGGCCTAGGTTCAAATCTGTATTTTGCCACTATTAATTCTCTGTACACACACATTGTAAGGATTGAGTTTTAACAGTGAAATGAACATTAAAACACCAAATTTACGACATTGCTGTGAGGATAAATTGAGATAAAATAATTAAATTCAATGAAGTAATGCATATGTCAAACTATTTTATACATTAGAATGCACTAGCAAATATTAGTTATTATCATATCTTTCTGTTTTATCATCTACTAAATTAATAAGAAATGAATTAATTGTAACCAGATTTCCTAATATTTTTCTTGGAAATAATCACTTACGGATCTACATCAGATTTCTGAGATTTAAAAAGAATATCACATAATACCCATTTTGAATCCCACCAAACCAGGAAATTGTCGCATGATGTGGGATACAGAGAAAGTCACACAGAAATCATGGAAGGTGCAAAATTCACAAAAGATACCACAAAAATGGATCATTTTTCTTTTTATAAATGTGCTTATCCATAAAGCGTGACTTATGCCTATCTACACTTGTATACATGAGAACCATTAACAACCTATACAGATACTTCCTTGTGAATATTATATAATTACACTCATTTAGGTGGGACTGTAGGATTGATTTCAGTGTCACCTAAAGTTATAAGGTGGTTACAAACTTCAAAGATGCAATAAATGTCCTTTTAGTTTAATTAAATCTGTTTGGCATAATAGAATCAGGCTGCCAATACCCCCAAATAATTGAAATATATTATGTGGCTACATGCAAACACACACACAGCCACACACAAAATCACACACATGCAAACATGCACACAGAAATATAGTTGTTAATCAAAGTCTTTCACCTTCTTAATTAAGTATTGAACTCAGGTTTAAAACTACTGTGTAATAAATGAAGAGATTTACCTCTGCTTTTCTCTGAAGAATCAGACTTAGTTCATTTACTGCATCTGTAATTTGTTTCGTTTCCACACACCCCAGAACACTGCATATTTTTTTAACTTCTTCAATAATATCCATGTTTTCCTGTAGATAACAAGATTCACATCTTACAATCTATTGAAATAAATGAGGGTACATTATCCTCAAACTTCTTCTCTTTCCATGGGGAGCAAGTGGAATAAAATTCAGTTGTTTGCTTTCACATAAAAAGAAAGTCCTCAAGACTGGTTATCCTGTGACTGGGGCTGTAATTTTCATTGAGTGAATGCTCAATATTACAACTGATTTAACACTAACTTACTTTACTAACTTACTAACTTAGCTTTAGCTTAGCATTACTTGAAACAAAATGAGAGAGAGGTAGAAAAAGAGGAAGGGTAAGAAAGAGGGAGAGGAAAAGAGATAGAGAGGGGGAGGGAGAAGTGTGGGGAAAGCAGGGAAGCTCAGCCTTAGACGAAGTCTGTGCTTTCTGTAAAACACCATGAAAAAAAAGTAATGATGGACGACTCAAGGAGAATTTCAAAACACACCTGTTTTTGGAATCAGTGTATTCCAAACTTAGGAAAAAAATTAGATTCACAGGATTCAGAACAAACTCAGGACAACCAGTTGTGGTGTTAAAGTGTGTGATAATCATCTGACTGCAGTATCCTTGAAGGAACTGATGTTTCAAAAAGAATTGCTGATGACAAATATAGTCTACCAATACAGTTTGGATGTTTGTCCTCTCCAATTCTCATATTGGAATATAATCCCCAATGCTGGAAGTGAGGCCTAGTGGGAGGTGTTGGGTCACAGAGGTAGATTCCTCTTGAATGTCTTGATGCTGTCCTTGCAATAGTGAGTGAGTTCTCACAAAATCTGGTTGTTCAAACGTGTGCAGTACATCTCCCTTCCCTCTGCTCCAGCTCTCGCCATGTGAGATACCTGATTCCTTTTCACCTTCTGCTATGATTGCAAGCTTCCTGAATCCCTCATCAAAAGCAGACGCTGGCATCACACTTCTTGTATTGTCTGCAGAACCATGAGCCAATTCAACCTCTTTTCTTTATAAATTACCCAGACTCGGGTGTTTCTTTATAGCAACACAAAAATGGCCTAATACACCAAGAGCAATGACAAATTCTTAAAATCAACACTGCAGACTGGCCTTGAGATAGAGACAGATTTTATGATCACCATTCTAAGAACTTTTCATTAGCCATTCTATATCTCATATTTGCACTTTTTTTTTTTTTTTTTTGAGACAGATTTTCACTCTGTCAGCCAGGCTGAAGGGCAGTGGTGCAATCTCAGCTCACTGCAATCTCCACCTCCCAGGTTCAAGTGATTCTCCTGCCTCTGCCTCCTGAGTAGCTGGGATTATAGGCACACAACACCACACCTGGCTACTTTTTTGTATTTTTAGTGGAGATGGGGTTTCACCATGTGGTCAGGCTGGTCTCTAACTCCTGACCTCTTGATCTGCCCGCCTCAGCCTCCCCAAGTGCTGGGATTATAGGAGTGAGCCACCATGCCTGGCTGTATGTGATCTTAAGGATTTATTTTAAAAAAAAAATCTTCTCTGTTTTGACCTTATTCTTTTTCATGTTTTGCCACTAACTATAGTGAGAAATCTCTTCTTTTTCTTTGATTCTGTGTGAATCATGTTTCACTTTACAATGTTGTTATATACTTTATCTTCATCATAACAATTGTGGCTTTTCAAAACAGATTTGTCACCAGCACCACCATCATTCCAATGAATTACAACAGTTTGTTTCAGGAAGACAGGGAACAGGGTTCTTCTTTTTATTTTCACACAAAGATATGAGTTTACAGCATTAAAAGATTTTAATTCTCCTTATTCTAGGGCATTTTATTAACAAAGTGTCAAGACAAAGACACAATGCAAGTTTTATATTAATAGGATAATACTTTGCTTCTTTTGTGGAAAAATAATATGTACTTTTTAATTTGTTGCCAGTATCTCATATATGTCATTTTACAAATGCTGAAACCAATGACAAAAATCCGAAGAATAACTAATTAATGCTATAAAAGACAAAAATCTGAAGAATAACTAATTAATACTATAAAAGACAAAATGAGGATTCCAAAAATCGTCTAGATTTTACTAATGAGCTAAAAGTAAATGCAATTTATTTGAGATCTATTTTAAGTCTTTCATGGATTAAAAAAAGTCTACTCAATAATAACATGGAGAAGAAAAAATTATGAGTCATCCAAATTGAAAAAAGTCATTTATTTCACTTATGTTGTGAACTCAATATAAGTCAATATTGTGATGTGGCTACCAGATCCAGTCCATTATTAAATTGAATCAAAAGACACCTGCTCTTCATAACTAGAAAGTAGTTCCACCACATTTTCCATGTATATTATCCAAACTGAAGTTTAGTTTGGGTACTAGATTTGAGAATGTACTTGACAAATTGGAATTTACTAAATGACAACTACCTCACTATTAGTGTACTGTTAATTCATTCAGAAGAGCATCATAGACAACATGGTCAGCTCTGAAGTCAAGCTCTGTATGTTTACATCCTGGTTCTACCCTTTCTACCTGTGACCATCATCAGAGTATTTAACTTTCATATCCCTAGGCTCCTTCCATCAAGCGAAAAAGATAATTAAGTTTCTGTAAAGATTAAATTAGATAAAATATAAAATACACTGCCTGGCAGATAATGAGGGCTAAATTTTAATGTTTAACTACTTAATTTTATTCACACCAATCTTTCAGTTTATAAGACAAATGAGACACTGTAGATGCAGAGATGGCTAACAGAATAGAAATTAGAAAATCATAAAAAAACTGAAAAGTCATATGAGGGTCTATGTTTATTTTTCCATTCATCTATTCTAAGTAAATATGTGAGATACATGAGTTTGTAAAAATTCATAAACAATACTAATTGAAATTATAATACTGGGTTGACTTGGGTAACTAGGTAGCTGGTAGCTGATTTATTCAATCTATTACTTCAGTCTTGCAGTACTTTTTATGTGATCTACTTATCTCATTTAATCTTCACATTCTAAAAATAAATAATCATTATATTTATGCATAACTGAGATCACTAGAATATGTGCCATAATATATTGAAGTTGTAAAATTGAGTTGGTGATCATTTGAATATGAGAACCAACAGAAAGGTTGGATTTAAGATGATTCCAAAATTTTATTTCCAAATTTTGGAAACCAACAATACAGTAGGGTGCTATTAATTATGGCAGAAACACAGACAAAATGAAGATTTTTGGT